ATTCTGAGACTTCAAAAATGTGTTGTTTTTGATGTTGAAACGGTTTTTCTTTATCCATGGGCAATGAGTTTCGATGTATTGGGAGTATCCGTATTTATAGAAGCTAAGAGTGCAAAGAAGTAGAACCTCCAGAAGTAGAGCAGAATTAAACCAAAAAATATAAAAAACAAAGAACTCGTCGACAGCAGGGTTCGAACCTGCGCGGGCGAAGCCCAACAGATTTCAAGTCTGTCTCCTTAACCACTCGGACATATCGACTTCTCGTCAATACCTTCAAATAAGTTTATAATAAAATCATTTGAATGAGGATTTAAAAGGCTTTACATTTCCTTGTGCCGAGGATTAGATTGGAAAACTCGTAATATTCAACCCATGTTAAACGTAGAGGTGAATGATTTTTTTTTCCATTGCGAGGGTTATATTGTAATCCATATTCTTGTTTGGACGAAATTTCTTCAGTTCTTCCTTCAACATACAAGCTTCAACAAAAGAAAATTCAAAGAACTTAGCGAAGAAGGCTTTGGTGTATTTAACACAATACATTGAAATGAAGGAAAGCTTATTTATTGATATCCCTGATAAGTTACAAATATGTACATATACTTGAGTCAAAATAAACAAACAAGAGGGAGCCTTCACAAAGGTTGCTTAGGAGAAGTCTCAGCAGTCGGTAGAGCCCCAGAAAGAGAAGGCACCGGAGGGGGATCATTCGGAGCCTCAGTACTGGACAAAACCCTAGAAGGATGAGGCATCAGAGGTTGATCATTTGGAGCTTCATTACGCGGTACAACCCCAGAAGACGAAGGCAATAAATGCCTTTGGAACAAACCCACAAATCTCTGATGATCAAGTAAAACCTGACCATCAGATTCCTTCATCTGGTCAAGCTTCCTCTTCATGTTTGTAGCATAGTCATGTGCGAGCCGGTGCAACTGTTTATTCTCATGCTTGAGCCCTCTAATCTCATGTTTGAGACTCATCACTTCAGCCGCCAATGATTCAACTTGGCGGGTTCGAGCAAATAGGCGTTGGGCCATATTAGACACAGAACCTGCACACTGAACACTGAGAGCCAGAGAATCCTTAACAGCCAACTTATCAGACCGTTTGGAAAGTAGTCTGTTATCTTTGGGAGTGAGAAGGTTCCTGGCCACTACCGCAGCGGTCATATCATTCTTCATCACGGAATCCCCAACAGTAAGAGGACCAGTAGGGGAGACGAAGGATGGGCGCCATATGTTGTCTGGAGAAGGCGGGGCTGCCTCTTCAACAAGGTTCAAGTCAAAACGACGGTCGGAGGGGCCAGACATTTTCAAAGGTGTTGAAGAGAGAAGAGGTCAGACAAATCAAGATCTTAGAAGTGCAAGAATTGAGCTTCTACTGGTGGATATTCAAGTGTGCTTTGGAACTTAATTTCAGCCCCTATAAAAATCTGCACTCGACGAAGCTTCAGAAATCGAAGAGGCGTTTGCTTTCTCAAAAGCTGGGTTGCTCAGAGACCACGAGGGTCGATCTCAGAAATCGAAGAGGCGTTTCCTTTCTCAAAAGCTGGGCTGCTTAAAGACCACGAAGGCCGATCTCAGAAATCGAAGAGGCTTGCTTTCTCAAAAGCTGGGCTGCTAAGAGACCACGAGGGCCGATCTCAGAAATCGAAGAGACACCTACTTTTCCAGCCTTGTCAGCACTTGTCACACGCACACTCAGCTTTGCGAAAATTATGGGCATTCTGTCGAAGATTTCTGGCGAAGTAGAAAGCACATGAATCGTACTGTTCAATCACCCACTTCCCACACGCAACAGTAACTCATGGGTACCACAGATAACTTTGCCAAAGTTCTCTGACAAAGTTGAGACACGTGAAGCTTGCAGCTCCCGCTACATCACTCTGACCAAGAAGGGTAAAAAAATTGCAAAGAAACAACACTAACAAAGTTTAGACACATAAATTTTGAAGGTCTAGCTACCATATTATTACCCACAAGGGTAAAGGAACAGTACCACTGCTGGATAATTGGAAAGTCCCGGTGTGTCAACCTCTGTGCTTCGTGGCAAGGTAGACTAGCAAACATGCCCAACCTTTACTCACATTCGAGAAAACACTCCCAACAGGATTGCTTGCTCCAAAATCGAAGAGGCACCGCCCTTCGAATCTCGAGAGCCAGACTCCCAACATGATTACTTTCTCAAAAATCGAAGAGAGGGTAAAGGAACAGTACCACTGCTGGATAATTGGAAAGTCCATGTGTGTCAACCTTTTGTGCTTCGTGGCAAGGTAGACTAGCAAAACATGCCCAACCTTTACTCACATTCGAGAAAACACTCCCAACAAGATTGCTTGCTCCAAAATCGAAGAGGCACCGCCCTCCGAATCTCGAGAGCCAGACTCCCAACATGATTACTTTCTCAAAAATCGAATAGAGGGTAAAGGAACAGTACCATTGCTGGATAATTGGAAAGTCCCTGTGTGTCAACCTCTGTGCTTCTTGGTAAGGTAGACTAGCAAACATGCCCAACCTTTACTCACATTCGAGAAAACACTCCCAACAAGATTGCTTGCTCCAAAATCGAAGAGGCACCGCCCTCCGAATCTCGAGAGCCAGACTCCCAACATGATTACTTTCTCAAAAATCGAAGAGACACGCTCTCCGAATCTCGAGAGCCAGACCCCCAGCAGGATTGCTTTCTCAAAAATCGAAGAGGCATCGTTCTCCGAATCTCGAGAGCCAGATCCCCGACAGGATTGCTTGTTCGAAAACTGAAGAGGCACAACTTTCCCAACTTCAAGAGCTGGATCTCCTTGGATAAAGCTTGTCTGTAATCTTCACACGCAACATCAGCTTTCCAGATACCACAGACCACTTTTTCAAAGTGCTCTGACAGAGTTAAAACATGTGAAGCTGGCAGCACCCACTACCGTGCTATGACCAAGCAGGGTAAAGGAATAGCATTATTACTTGATGTTAGGGAGACTCCTATATATGTCGACATCCATCCCTAACGGACAGGCAGACCTGCAAAAATGCTCAACCCTTTCTCTTATCTGATAGGGCACTCCCAACGAAGCCTTTCGAAATATTCAGCTTTCTTTCCCCCCGATAATACCTCTGTAAACAAGCTATACTAGAGCAAGAATATCTCATATCATTAGGGTTAAAAGCAAGAGTATCCCATATCATGCTTTTTCCCTGTCTTTTCCTTTGGCCTTGTTCTTACCTGCAAGACAAGGAGAAAGAGAGCAATCAGTCAGCACTTGGAATCAAGCTTCCAGCCAGGAACTGACTGCCTGGAACCCCTTACCTGATTATTTACCTGGCATTGCTCTCGAGGACTCATCTTCAACATCTTATGCTTCCAGGGAAGATACCGCATCTGCCTGAGGAACAGATAGGGCAAGTGAGAAGGATACAAGGAAGCATGTGGAGACAAGCGTAAGAGCACACGTGCCGATACATCCACTACTCTGTCAAAAGCAAAAGTATCCCATATCAGCAGGGTCGAACGTACTCTAGATTTGATGGACTTGTTTTGACCCTCAAATTCTTCAGTCGGCCTTATACTCTGGAGGAAACCAGAAAACCCTCCAGCCCGGTTCAAGAATAAGCCTATGGAAAGTTACTTCTTCAAAAGCAAAAGTATTCCATATCATCTCTTCTCATTTTTCTTCTCTTTATCCTTCATGCTGCCTGCAAGATAGGGAGAATGTGAACAATCAGCCGGAGCTCTGATTGCTTACCTTGTTTGTCACCTCTTTCAGCAGATCCCCTAGCCCGGCGACTTGGGGGACTCCTACTACATGGTTTGTATCGCGCTTGACCAAGCTTGAAACTACAAGTAAGCTTCAAGTGAAATTGATACATTACCTTGTGCATCTCCACCAGTTACAGATACCACCCCTGGATGGAGGAAGAATACTTCCAGAGAAGATGCCACATCTACCTATGAGACAGATAAGGCAAGTCAAGACGATACCACACTCCGGTACTTAGAAGTTTCGTGGTTACGAGATCATTCTCCCACAATATTTCCTAATGTCATTTGTACTAAATCATTCACTTGTACTCACTAAAGGAGAGCTTGAACCTATGTACTTGTGTAAACCCTTCACAATTAATGAGAACTCCTCTATTCCGTGGACGTAGCCAATCTGGGTGAACCACGTACATCTTGTGTTTGCTTTCCTATCTCTATCCATTTGTATACTTATCCACACTAATGACCGGAGCAATCTAGCGAAGATCACAAAAAGTGACCGTTTTCGCTACCTAGGATCTATCTTGCAAGAGAACGGAGAATTAGATGGAGATCTCAACCATAGAATACAAGCTGGATGGATGAAGTGTAAGAGTGCATCCGGCGTGTTGTGTGACCGTCGTAGGCCACTGAAGCTCAAGGAAAAATTTTATAAGACGGCAATAAGGCCAGCGATGTTGTATGGCACAGAATGTTGGGCGGTGAAGCATCAACACGTACACAAAATGGGTGTAGCGGAGATGAGGATGCTTCGTGGGATGTATGGGCACACGATAAAGGATAAGATTGGGAATGAGGATATCCGAGGTAAAGTAGGGAGTAGCCAAAATTGAAGGAAATATGAGAGAAAATCGGTTCCGGTGGTTTGGACATGTGGAAAGAAGGCCTACTGACGCTCCGGTTCGAAAATGTGACTACGGGACAGAGGTTCAGGGCCGCAGGGGTAGAGGAAGACCTAGGAAAACTTTGGAAGAGACCCTAAGAAAAGACTTGAGTACTTGGATCTAACGGAGGACATGACACAAAACCGAGCGCAATGGCGTTCTAGGATTCATATAGCCGACCCCACTTAGTGAGAAAAGGCTTTGTTGTTGTTGTTGTTGTTGTTGCTTCCTTCGACATACCTTGCATACCGTAGATTATCTAATCCAACCCAATCTTGGGTATCAAGACATGAAAAATATAAGTTCTTTTTGTTTTGTTTGAGGTTAAGAAAATTCAGGTTGAGCAGAAACAGAATAAATGGGGCATTGCAGAAGGTAAATTTCATATTTATAAAATGAAAAAAAACACATCCTACCCTTTACAAACTCCTCTCTATCTATTTCTTTTTAGAGCTAAACCATTTGAACTGTGAGTCTGTGACCCAGAAAAGAAAAGAAAGACAAAATCCACCATAGCATTGTGTTTAACTAAGTTTCCTCCATTGATCCAGTCACCGTTCTCGCTACAAGGTCTACACGCTAAGGATGAGCATACTGCACGTTGATCCTCCGCTGAATCGGGGTCCTACAAGAAGGGCAATCCTTCATTCCTTGTTTCTTGTGAAGCTCATTGCAATTTGCACAAACAACCTGATGTGCACACGGAAGGAACACCACCGACATCTCCTCAGATAGGCACATCACACATTCGCGGTCCTGTCTCAAGTCCTGGGAATTCTTTACCTTCTTGAGGCTGGTAAAGTTTTGGTTTCCCTTTGTTGCCTTCCCACTTTTTCTGTCTGACGGGGAACCTCCAAAGCTTCCGGCAGCTCCCCTTCTTAGTGCTGCAATTCTCGAGGAGTCGGACTTCAACTTAAGTTCTGATAACTTGCTCTCAACTTTTCTGATGTCTTCCATATACTCCCGCATATCATATTCTGCGCTCAGTTTGATCCTGTCCTCCTCCAATTTTGTCAAAGCTTGACGTTGTTCTCTTTCTTTTCTTATGAAGTCGGCCTGCACAAGTATTTTCTCCCTTTCTATCTTCTCCCTTTTCCATCTAGCCTGTAAAATTTAGTAGTACATGTGAGAAATAACAACCAGAACATCAACGTATATTACCAAATATGCAACGGACCATAGCATTATACCAGCAAATAATTGAATAGAAGAAAGCTAGAATTACATGAGTGTTTGTCACTTTACTAAAATATTTCTTTGTTTCTTCACTCTGAAAAACAAGCTTATTAATTATTATGCTCGGTAAGAAGAATGTTAACTTGCGGCACCACAAGCAAACAACTTTCGAAAAACAAGGTCCTATGACTCTTGTCATGAATTTATGCCCTTGTTCACCAGTATCCCACAAGTGAGCTCACATAACATAATTTTGAAGGGTAACTGTTATGTCTACACGTTGAAGAAGCATACCTCGATTTGATGATGGACATTTTTTGCCTTGGCTAAATCCTGTTGCAGTGCAGCCACCTTCTTCTTTCCTGTCTCAAGCTCTTCCTGCAATGCGCTCCTCTGCCCCTCCCATGCCTGGACCTTTTTCAGTGCATTCTGCTCCCTCTCTAATGCTTCCTGGTGACGTGCAGTCGAATCTATAGCCATTCTTTCGGCAGTACTCCTCTCCTCTTTAAGAGTGGAATTCTCCAACTCAAGCCTACAGATATTAGAGGTAGCTTTCTCAACCTGGTCAGTTGCATTATTTAAGGCATTCTCCAACTCAGAGATTCTCTTCACAGTGTTCTCCTCCAACATTTGTTTCTCTTTTTTAAATTTCTCTGCTTCTGCCTTCTCTTGCCTCAGTATTTTAAGTTCAGGTTGTTCCTTACTAAGCCTACGAGAAACCTGCATAATCTTCTCGTTGGCCCAATTAGTCCAGCTTTCTAGTTCATTCTGCAGCTCCTCCAGCCGAGGTACTAGTTTTAAAATCAGCTCATCCTTCTCATCTTGTGCGACATACTTTCCTAGAGACTTATCATATGGGATGCCAGCACGGTAATCAAGAGGAACAAGATCCTTTAGCCGAGGAGCTACCTTCAAAACAGCTCATCGATCTCATCTTTTGGGATATTCTTTCCTAGAGACTTGTCATCACATGGCAAGCCAGCACAGCAATCATGAGTCTTGGGGGATGGAGAGGTGCCAACCGGGATCTTGGCCTTAGGTCTAGATTTGTTTTCCAAACAAGACTTCTGGGAAAGATTGGGATCTGCGGATCGCAAGTAAGATATAGGTAATGTTACTGTGCCACCTGTTGCTAGTGAAGCAGATGAAATCTTGGTTGAAGCCCTATGTCTTCCATCTGAAGAAGGGATGGTGGATCCAGCTTTGGCACTCAACTTTGAGGATGCAACTGTTTCTCGTCCTCCGGGAATTTCAGATGGAGGCTTTAGCCTCTTCTCCAGAACAAAACCACCAATCGTGACTTTCCCTGATTTGAAGCCTCCTTTTTTCCCATAAGCGCTGTAATTTCGATCCGTATGGAAGGACTTCTTACGAAGTGCTGCTAATTCTTTCTTGGTGCGCCCTGTTAGACCAGCTCCTGACTTTTCTTCAGAGGTGGATGTCTGAGATTTTGATTGGACATTTTCTCCAGTGAATCCTAAGCACTTTTCCAGACTATCTAGCATAGATGACAAACTATCTTTCTCAGGGGTTACCTCTTCAGGTGCATGAGAATGTGTGCTGTTGGAATGTATACGGAAACTTCCAAATTTGAGTGTTTCAGGAGGATTGCTTTGAGCATAGGCAGGCAGTGGCTTTGAGGAATTTGCTTCATTGGGATTTGGAAGAATGGTTTCAGAGCTATTTGCCTCTGAGCTTAATTGGGGAGAAGACGAATCAGCGGATTCTTCAGAACCAAGAGCACTAAATGGATCTCCTTCCGACGTGCAGGCTAGCAAAATGTTTAAGTCACATATCAACAGCCACCACATTGCTTCCGCAACTGATAAGGATAGCCTTACCTCCCTAACCACACTGATCATTTCTAGCATTGTGTATTCCACCAGGTGCTGCAAATTAACAAACTGATCATTTGAAGCATCAATATCTTTTTCTTTCTTAAGAAATTTCAGGGTATCACTAACAATATTTGCTAGAGGGTCTTTACCGCCAATGTAAAGGCCGCCTCTCGAAACAGCCTTTTCAGCAACCTCCTCACTGTACCCATGTTCAGCAACCTGCTTAATAGCACTCCGGAAAATTGCTTGCAAATAAGACAGTAGTAGTTCTTCAAGCTGGCAAGCAATTGGGTCATCCCAATCTGCACACTCAAAAGCTCCCACTTCCACTTCTTCTGGCTGAACCACCCCCGCCTGAGCTAACACCTTGTCACTCAAATTTCTACATTCCTCTGAAGGTAATTCGCTCTGAGGGGTTACGGTTAGGGGCAAACCAGGGTTAGTTGCATTCTGCGGGGCAGGGTCAGCTTTTCTCTTGTTCTTACTGCCTTTTCCGGTACCACTGTTGACCATTTTTTTCATACTAAGAACAACCCAACCAACATCAATTAACCCTACACAACCCAACCAACAAAACAAATAAATATAAAAAAATGACAAAAGCTGAAAATTTTAACAAAAACAACATCAAAAAATTGTCAAAAGAAAAAATGTACAACCATATTCTCAAACATTTATTTCACAGACAATCACTAAAAATTAAATTCTTCGATGTATCAAGGAAATAATTACAAATATCAAGACATGTATGCATTCCTTAGTCTTCAAGTTCAATTAAAAATTAACACGAAATACTACCGAATTTCATACCTCTGAGCTACTAAGCGAGAACAAATATGCACAAAAAGAACATCTCCTAGAAGCACTAAATCGTAAGAAAGTTGGAAAACAAACAGATTAAGCGCAACCCAGCTAAAATCCAATAACGCATGCAGCCACACAAGTCCAACTGTTGAAATACCAACCCATTTCTCCAAAAACATCAGAAACTCGACTCCCATTTCACAAAACCCACAAAAATTTGATCCCAGTGGGTGCAAAAACTTAAACATATGCAGCAATATGAAAAAAAAAATTGGATTTTTATACCCAAATTGAAGAGAAACGTACCGGGCGAGCAAAGTTGTGGGCGTGGAGGGGAGTGGCTAGGCGAGAGAGAGAGAGAGGGGGGGGGGGTGGTAAGAGAGTGAGCTTCCGCACCGAGTCAGTGTCTGGGGTTTTTGGGGATGGTTTAGCATGGAAGAGCCACATAACAAAATAAAATTGGTCCCTTGCTTTGCACTTGGCGTCTTTAGGCCTAATTTTGGCTTTTTGTATAGAAAGAGTTATATAATGTATAGACCCTCGTATCAATTAAGATAGCGATTTTCACACGCTCGTTTTTTCAACTCAACCTTGAGATGCACTAAATCCAGTCATTCAATTAATGTGAATTCTTGGCTTTCTCTACATTTACTAATACATAATAAAAAGATGTGCAGATTTTACATTACAATCTTTAATTTAATGCATGAAATTCATGAATATATTAATTAGAAAGTAGTTGAGCACGTACCGATTCCTTCTCTTCCTTATTTATGACTTTCTGATTCATGATTTTACGAATTAAATTGTATTGCATGAACAAACATCTTAATAGTCTTTGGTTTTGGTTTAATGGATGGCTTGGATTTGCACTATTTGTAGAAGGGATGTGCTATCCACACACCTCATTTTACTTTTCACATACCTCTTAATAATTTATGTATGTTGATCTTCTTCAATTTATCTGATCCGACAACCAAAAATTAAAAAGATATGTGAGAAGTAAAATAGGATATGTGGATATCACACCCTTTTGTAGAAAGGCATATCCACATCCGACAACCAAAAATTAAAAAATATATGAGAAGTAAAATAGGATATGTGGATATCACAACCTTTTGTAGAAGGGCATATCCACCTTTAACATCAATGTTATAATTAGGTACATGCACTAGAACAAAATTAATGCTAAATAGGGATGATTAAAATGTTAGGTTTTGAGGGACCAAATGAAGTTAATTTAGAGTAAGCATAAGCAAAGACAAATTTGGATAGTAAACATTATTGTCATTTTTCATATCCATATCTATCCAGATTCTATGATTAAATTGCATTAATTACCTATGGAAAAAAAATTAAGAAAATGTAACACCTGAATAATTAAAGGGAATCTCTACACCTATACAGTTTAGGAAAGCGTTTATTTATGGTCATTACCCTATTTATCAGTATTCGATAAGTTTAAATTTTGAGATTTGTGTTTATCCATTATATCGCAAAATTAAACTAATCTAACAATGATAAGTATGGTGGTGAGCACTCCCATTTAAGAAAATGATTATCTAAGGATAAAACAATTTCTTACATTTCTTTTTGGAAAATAATCTCTATAAAGTTGTTGACCCTAGAAATTACAAAGCCTACGTGGCGCGCAGGCCGAATATATTCTAAGCTAACTACGTCCTTCGGTGATTGCGGGGCGTGCCAACTCGTCGGCCGAGGCTCGGCCGAGGAGTAAATTTGATGATGCTGCGTTGGGTCGCGCTACTGACTTCTGCGTCTTGCGATTGCGGCCGAGAAAGGAACGCGTCTCGGCCTCTTGGGTTCTCGAGCCTGAAGACAAGGCTGCTATTTCTTACAAAGTTCACGAACCGAATTCGGCTTACAATGTGCCGAATGTAATAACTGTAACACCTCACCTCGCCGAGAAGGCTAATGAGATGACCTCGACCAACAAGGATTCGAAAACCCTTCTCGACCGAGACTTGGATAGGCAATCGACCGTTCTCGCCGCAGTGATGCCAACGGAATGCGAGACCGACCGACTCTACGGTGACAGAGCTATCTATGCCGACTTAAGATATCACCGGTTGCTTCCACAGTGCTGTTGATGCCAACGGAAGATGTGTCAGCGAAAAAAGGAAAAGAAAAAGATCTCAAGTTGTGAGAGTTTGCGCAGGGCAATTTTGTATTGATTTTTGTGGGACTTTGAATGGTGCGCAACCCTCCCTACTTATAGTGAAAGTTACACCCGTCCGCTTGATACTCTTGGAGAGTCCTAATTGGACTCTGTCTTGTGGAATTGCATCTGGTTGTACATTCGTCTTATATCCTTTAGCCAAGGATCATATCCCTTTATGCCAATAAGCTTCCCGCCTTGAAATATGCCAATAATATGCATGTATGGCTGACCAACGCCAATCATGCGGCTGATTAAATCCAAATTGGCATCCTTATCTTTATGCATGCGCAAAAATCCATACCAATCCATAACCATTCGCCAATAATCAGCAATGCATTAGGATTCTAATGCCCCACCATCCTACGAATAAATTGGGGTTTTAGATAAAAACTAGGTTTAATAAATTATGATTAAAATCCCAACATTATCTCAATCATAATTTATTTCAACCACTTTGTCGTTCAACGCACGGCCTAAAACCCTGCTCATCCGACGGCCTTGATTGCTCGGGCCGATATTGTAAAAATGGGTCCAAACATTGCCCCCCAGTTTCCTTGAGCTTCAGCCCGTAGGCCGAATGGTTAAGGAAATTAGCTCAGTCGAAGAAATGTATGGTCGAGGAGTCCACTCCATAGCATGACACGTCTTGAATATGATCAAAGAAGTAATAATCTTGGGTAGCCTTATGGTCCCCTCAGTCAACACAATGCCAAATGAACTACCATCCCATTTGTTTTCAGCCACCATCTGTGAGATAGCAACAAAACTGGGGTCGAGAGGTAAAGTGGGCCGAGGCCGAGAAGAATTGAGGTCGAGGTCGATAAGAAATGGTCCCTATGAATTCGGCCTGCCTAATATATATTATAATATATATATATATATAGTATATATATATATATAATTAATTAGACCCAGCCGTATATCATCGAAGGATGAAATCCACTCTATTCATAAACTCCTCTCGGCCAAATCAATACCTGCCGAGTCATCACCGAGAGCCACCGTCTAGCACCCACCATCGAATAAAGATTGGTCGCTGAATTCCGGGGAAAACAAATAAAACCACTTTACTTCGTTCGGTCGTAAAAAAAACCTTTGGACACAACCGAACTCGTCGTACTGAGGCCAAGCTCAACAACATATACTGGGTAGCTCGGCCCATGCGTCGGTAATACGAAACAAAAAACTCATTTACAGCGGAGAATCATCGTCGAACAGCAAAACCTTTTCAATACATGACTCGGCAAAATTTGATGGACCTGCCGAGCTTGGTGAGAACCATAACAAATTGGGCCGAGGTTGATGATTTGGCCGAGACTCCAATTTGTATCTATGCCGAGATTGTTGTGTGAGTGAATGCATAAGGCTGCCATGCACTCACTTTGAGCCGGCCGAATGATTTTTTTTTTTTTTTTTCTTCGGCCAAAGCAAAATATATATATAAACACCCATACACACACACGGCATCAGGCCTATATAGACACATTCGACCAAAAGCTAATATATATATATATATAAACACCCATACACACACGGCATCAGGCCATAATGATGTGGTGGCTTGAAATAATATAAAATATATATATATATTTGTTGCCCCCCCCTTATTTTCTTACGCATCGGCTTGCATAGCCGTATGTTTAAGAAAATAATATATATATTTAACAAACGAAAAGAAAAGTGGCCGAACCATAGTCAGTCAGAGCAGAGGCCAACGATGCTTTATTCCAAGTCGAGAATCTTGTAAAATCTTCAAATTGATTTCGCTCTAGGCCGAATAAAGAATTTCTCCAAATATTTTTGACTTGGAGAAATAATTTTTCATTCTCGGCCGCCGAATGTATTGAACAATTATTATGCCCCCCAGGCATAATTTCGGTTTTTTAATTCAAACCACTTAGCCGAACAGGATTTCTCCATATCGGCTTTATTGCCAATAATCATATCAATTGGCGTAGTTTCTTGGGCTAGGCCAATATCTTGGCCTCGTTCGTCATTGGAGCATTCCTCTGACGAATCATTTTCCAAGTCAATTTTTGTATCTAGCTCAAGAACTTGAATTTTTTCTTCTAGGCCTACCACCACTTTCGGTCTCGACCGAAAAAAATAGGTGGCTTTTGTTCTTCGGGCCAAATTAACAATTTTCTTAGACCGATGTCTGATTACGGCCGAAGCGAAAAATTGCCCCCCGGCCTTTGGGCCTAACCATTTTTCAAATGGAATTGATCTGTAGTCGGAAACGTAAGGAAAATTTTCTTCATCTAGCCAGACATTAAATCGAGCCCTGTCTTCATTTACCCATTGCCCTTGTAGGATAACAGCAGGAGCTTTTATTTTCAACATGCAAGCGAATGACTTTTTGCATCTCTCTATGGCCACGACGAAGAACTTTTTTCTGCTTCCAAAGATTTTTTTACATTCCTCATTATGTTTTTTCAATTCCTCCAGGAGCTCGTACAATCGGCTACGTTGAGCCAGATTGGAATCTTGAATATATCATATGAACTTCGTAGTATAGTAGGCACTGGGTCCCACTGGGCGTGCCAAAATGTTGACCCTAGAAATTACAAAGCCTACGTGGCGCGCAGGCCGAATATATTCTAAGCTAACTACGTCCTTCGGTGATTGCGGGCGTGCCAACTCGTCGGCCGAGGCTCGGCCGAGGAGTAAATTTGATGATGCTGCGTTGGGTCGCGCTACTGACTTCTGCGTCTTGCGATTGCGGTCGAGAAAGGAACACGTCTCGACCTCTTGGGTTCTCGAGCCTGAAGACAAGGCTGCTATTTCTTACAAAGAAACCGAATTCGGCTTACAATGTGCCGAATGTAATAACTGTAAACACCTCACCTCGCCGAGAAGGCTAATGAGATGACCTCGACCAACAAGGATTCGAAAACCCTTCTCGACCGAGACTTGGATAGGCAATCGACCGTTCTCGCCGCAGTGCTGTTGATGCCAACGGAAGATACTGCGAGACCGACCGACTCTACGGTGACAGAGCTATCTATGCCGACTTAAGATATCACCGGTTGCTTCCACAGTGCTGTTGATGCCAACGGAAGATGTGTCAGCGAAAAAAGGAAAAGAAAAAGATCTCAAGTTGTGAGAGTTTGCGCAGGGCAATTTTGTATTGATTTTTGTGGGACTTTGAATGGTGCGCAACCCTCCCTACTTATAGTGAAAGTTACACCCGTCCGCTTGATACTCTTGGAGAGTCCTAATTGGACTCTGTCTTGTGGAATTGCATCTGGTTGTACATTCGTCTTATATATCCTTTAGCCAAGGATCATATCCCTTTATGCCAATAAGCTTCCCGCCTTGAAATATGCCAATAATATGCATGTATGGCTGACCAACGCCAATCATGCGGCTGATTAAATCCAAATTGGCATCCTTATCTTTATGCATGCGCAAAAATCCATACCAATCCATAACCATTCGCCAATAATCAGCAATGCATTAGGATTCTAATGCCCCACCATCCTACGAATAAATTGGGGTTTTAGATAAAAACTAGGTTTAATAAATTATGATTAAAATCCCAACATTATCTCAATCATAATTTATTTCAACCACTTTGTCGTTCAACGGCCTAAAACCCTGCTCATCCGACGGCCTTGATTGCTCGGGCCGATATTGTAAAAATGGGTCCAAACAAAAGTCTATCTCAAACTGTCTAGATTATTACCTGTAGTAAAAATTGAAATAAATTCTAGCAAACGAGGCAAATCATTTTTTGATGCTTGTGTATTTACAAAAGAAATGAATTATGAAAAAATAATAAAATTGCGAGGGAATCAAATTATAATTACCTTGTAAATATCAATGATTTAATATGAGCTCAGCATTTTTTTATGCTGAATTTTTCATAATTCATTGAATTATTAATATTTTTAGTTTTTTGTTTTTGGACAAATTTAAAATTTTTAGTTATTAATACAAGATATAGACAATTGAAGGGTAAAAACGTCATTTTGGTCCAAATATAAATGGTGGATTTTTTTTTTAATTTTTTTTTTAGAGTAATAAACGGCGGATCCGAATAGAGCACATACGGTGTCATCCTCCTCCTTCGGCTGCTTTGGCGGGATTCGGAAAAGGAAGAGAAATTTTCAGGGGCCGGAAAAGCGCGAAATGGACGGCCAAACCCCCAAAACGTCGTCGTCCAAGGTACGGATAGAGTCCCTTCAATCCAATATTTTCACTTTCGTCAATATCTCATCTGATTTTCGTTTGTTGCCGGTGAAATTTGAAAATTGTGGTCCGTTTGGTTGCCGGGAAAATGAAACTGAAAAGAAAATTAAGGGGTTCTTATATTTCAATTTTCTTAGTAATTTGGGAGCTGAAAAAACGTAAACTTGAACGAATTCCAGCTCACTGTGATTGCATTTCCAGATTAATTTGTGCTTTAATTTTCTTTTTCTCGGAAGTCGGAACGCGGATAGAGAATCTTTCGAAATTGAGGTAGTAACACTCGAAGAAATTTAAGATTACTAAGAAATTTTAAAATGACGGAAATTGAATTGTCAGGATTTTATTTTATAAGATTTGTGAATTTTTTTGTTTGGTTAACCTAAAAGAACAATAAAATTGAGTACATAATTTGTTATATTTAAGCTCTCAATCATAGAAATTGACATATTTACATGGAATTTAAACTTGGGAATTGGAGGTCCCAAATCCCAAGTTTTTTTTCCACACAGAAATTCTAAATTTCTATGTTTATGAATCCAAACAAGGGAATTAGTGCATGCTAATTTACAAATTTTGACTTTTATTAAAATTTCAAGTTTATTTCTCTTGTCCAAACATAGTGTAAAGGCTCTGCGTGTCAATAGGAATTGCTCATTGAAATTGGGTTTTTGAGATTTTAGGGAATAAGTAACTGAGGATTTAATGCTAATTGACCTAATTCCAGGGTTCTAAAAGACGAGATGCTAGTCGGGCGGCGGGCTGGGCCTAGCAGCTAGGCGGATTAGGCTGATTTAAGTAAATTTATTATATTTCGTGTAAATAAGCGTCTGTTTATACTTAAAATATATATAATTTCATCATAAATTAGAAAATAGAATGACATATATATTATGAAGTATTGGAACATAATGAAAACATGGGGAGCAAACATATAATGTTTGTTTATTTCAGTGTTTAATAAGTCTCTTCCAATTTATTAGAAATAATAAAATGCAAAATGAAAGTTATCTATTTTTTATCTAAGTGAGTATCAACCTAGCCAGGTGTCTAGGCTGGTCTGGACGGGCTAGGCAGGTGCCTTGGCGGTCTAGGCGGGCGCCTCAGCAAGTCTAGGTGTCCTTTCTTAATTTTCAAACGCCTAAGCATTAATCGGGGCAGTGGTCAGCCGTCTAATTCCTAGGCGACGGCAGGCGGAGATTTTTAGAACAATGCCTAAGTCACATTAATTTTTCATGTCAGTAAAATGTAAAAAAATTAGCAAGGATAGAATTATGGACATGGGATTGAATGCTAATTGACCCAATTAATGTTTCATTGATAATAATTAGCAAAGAGGGGTTATCATCTTAATAAATTTTGTAACTTTTTAGAAGCGTGCCCGTATCTTTTGTGTTAAAATGTGCTTCTTCACTTCACTGGGAAGTGGTAAGCAATATGTTGTTGTCTTCACAGCATAAATGGTGTTGAAATTATGTAGCTCAGAGAGATTTTTAAGAAGTTCAGTTTGGAATAACTTCGATTATCGCACAATGACATGAATCATAGATGTTTGCTCATACCAGGAATCCTTAGGCTTCGCATAGCATTGAACTGGGGTTGCGATACATTGAACAAACAAACTTGCGCTCTTTCTGTAGTGTTCTTCTTATAATTGTATGCTATCTGGTACGCATTCTTCTTTTAGGATTTTGAATTTCGTTTACGTGAGTAGTTTGATGAAATGCTTGTGATTTGGATGACTAAATCATTGAATGTGCTACACCCATTCGGATTCTCTTGACAGAAACCAAATGTAGCGAAAAGTTCGATTGATGTATATGCTGCGCAGTGTGACCAATGCAAGAAATGGAGAGTGATTCATTCTGAAGAAGAGTACGAGGAAATCAGGAGCAAAATCAGTACGGAACCCTTTTATTGCAACAAAAAATCTGGTGTGACTTGTGACGATGCTGCCGATATTGAGTACAGTGCTAGCAGGACCTGGGTCATTGATAAGCCTGATCTTCCGAAGACCCCGGAAGGTTTCAGGAGACATTTGGTGGCTAGAAAAGATTATTCCAAACTGGATACGTATTATATTACACCCAAGGGAAAAAGACTGAGATCCAGAAATGAGATGGCAGCATTTTTAAAACAAAACCGTAAGTATGAAGGCTTATCCGCTTCAGATTTCGACTTCGCACCCCCAAAGGTAATGGAAGACACCGTTCCTGAGATCTTCAGTAAAAGGGGCTCTGATAGCGTCCGCAAAAAAATTAAAATGACAAAGAATGAGGATAAGAGCGCTGATATCACTGGTGAAGAAGATTTCGAGTAGCTCATGTTGAAAGACTGCCGGCGAAAAGCTTGTTGGGAGGTTTTGCTTTGTGTAGAAATGATGTCTGATGTACTACTCCAGCCATACGCACGCTGGATTTTTGTTGTACTTAACCGCTAGTTTGTTCGGATAGATGTCTTGGGTCTGTTTCTGATAAGGATTCGAAAATTGATACTCGCAGAGTTGTATTTGGTTGTGTTTCCATCTCGTTTTGTTACTTTGGTACTGTTTTATGTAGGAAAATCAGTCGAAATGCTATTCGGTTTTTAGAATTTTTCGTGTTTGTTTTTCGTTTCAAGAGATTCAAGCCCTTGTTTTACAAGAAGTAACAAAAGTCCACTGGAAAATTTGTATGGCTTTTTGTCTCGAACATGTTGACACACCCCGACCCAAATCGAGATGTGCTGGTCGTCACGTCTCGATTTGGATCGGGATTTTTCAGTTTGGTATCAGAGCCAATCCCTGGTCGGAAGTGTGCCGGCGAAAACGTCAGGCCCCTAAGGGGGTGGATTGTAGATCCCACATTGCCCAGGGGTGAGGATCTTGTAAGCTTTATATGTATATTCTCATCTCTATCTAACACGAGGCTTTTTGGGAGTTCACTGGCTTCGGGTTTCATCGGAACTCCGAAGGTAAGAGAGTTCGCGCGAAAGCAATCCCATGATGAGTGATCCACTGAGAAATTCTCGTGTGAGTTCTCAGAAACAAAACCACGTGGTCGGAGATATGATGGACCCGGGGTCGAGATGTGACACTTGTACATGCCAAATCAAAATCACTTTTGAAATAATACATTGAGTACATTTAACCACTAGGCCATCTGCGATTAGGCGAACCGATGCTGAACATGAAGTACAGGCATGACTTCCGGCGTTTTCTGTGGCCGGTTTCGTGTATTCGAGCAGCATGTGTGTTGACCTGTAAATCTTCACCGGTGTTCAGTATATGACCTCTTCAACTCCAAGCTCACCCTCTGCTCTTGCAGCATATATATCTTCACAAATGGATATCAACCTACACACCAAAAAATATCATACAAAACTTATGGAAAGACCATCCGAGCATGTAGGGGCCTGTTCGGAAGGGCTTCTTGAATGGCTAAAAGCGCTTCTAAATGTGATCCTGGGCTATTGAAGATTTCAACGTGCTTCTAATAAAAAGAAGGATAAATCCTAATGTAAAAAATATATTTGGCCCATTTCTCTTAACAATTTGATTCACGAATCTTCTAAACAAATGACAATTGGACATTTATATAGATTTTTTTCTTTTTTATGCAAATTATTATGTGTATAATGTTTTAGACTTGATTTGTCAAGGATTAGCCAATCAACGTGTATTTTTAACTTAATTTGAAGCAAATATTGTATGCTTGTTTGATATTTCCTTATAAACTATGAAAAACTTAGGATTAATTAAGCAATATTGTGCACAGTCATTCTTGTTTATCTAAAATTATGTACTTGTTACAATTGGAAATTATATTCTTATAATATGCAATAATTACGGAAATGATTTTGAAGTAATTAAATATAAAGAGTTTTAACAAAAAGCTCGCGGTACTGTTTACTTTAACGAAAAATCACATTTTTACACTAAAAACTCAATCCTGGTACTATTCACTTTACCATTTATTTTGTCCTTATCATTAAAACTCAAAGTTTTCAAACCCTGTTCATTAGTTTTCCTTTAAATATATTCTAACAATACCCATCCTCCAATCCTACAAATACAAAGTTATAAGAATGACAGTGACAAGTAAATAGCTATTTGTACGTGCGTTTTTCTTAAAATTTTCATATGCAAGTTTAAGATGGCCGCCAAAGCACTGTCACTCATCAGCCTCTTGATCGTACTCATTATTCTCGGTTCAGGTAATTTTTTTTATAAGTACATCCATATTTTTACATTAAGGGAATGGGGAGTTTGGGAAAGCCACATAATCAATATTTTTATACTAAGGGGAGAGGGAGTTCGGCAAAGACACACAATGGACAGCCTAATTGGTATCGAATTCGCCATCTACGAGATTCGAACATAAGACCTCTCACTTCTACGTGAATACATACATAACATATACATACATCCCCTTTAAGGAAAGGGATTTTCTTTTCTTTTTTTTTCAAAAAAAAAAGGGACTAATTGTTGGTTGGACTATAGTTTCATCTTCAACATTGCAAACCATCAATTTTGTAAGTCTCGATTCATTGAAACCCTAGCAAAAATTCACTTAAATTTCAAACAATTGCCTACTTAATTTCAGACAAATGCCTCGCGGCGTCGCCGATCAAATACTTTGCAAGTGTATTTATATTTGCTGACCCGATTTCGGGGTTTTTTTTTTTTTTTTCCTGGAATTTCAATGTGGAGAAATGGAATAAATAAAAAACAGATGTTTTGTTTTCGATAATTTAAAATATTAGTTAATTAAGATGACCAAAATACTGTTACTCTTCGTTTAATTTTTTAATCGTTCTTGTTGTTCTTCTAGGGCCAAGTAATCTTCCACGAGTATCACATGTGTACTTGTTGCTCAGCAATCTGCATCAATTAGTATTTGAAATTTATTCGATACCGGAAATATTGGAAAATCAGAAAAAGATTTTGCAAGGGAGGTGAAGTTTACCCTATAGCGGAGAAATTTTGGATAAAATTAACAAATTTCATCGATATTTCTAATGTTCCTAAAGTTTCATTTTAAATTTTCACATTTTGAAGAACTTTCCATCATATGAAAAACATAAATAAAAACATAAATATACGTATTTCTAAATGTTTCAATGGTGGATCTCGCCAGTCAAAAAGAAAATTAAACGGAATCTCAAATATCCATCCATCCAGAACCCCTCCTATCTACGTCTCGCGAAAGTGTAAAAGTGTAAAATCAAATGTAAATATAATTTTTGGATCTCAATTTTCCATTTCGCCATTAGAATTAGTTTAATTTTTACTCCAATGTATACGTGCAAACGAGGAGATGTAAATTTACTGTAAAATCTTGTTCTTGAAACACACACACTGGTTTTTTTACTTGAACTTGTATTGAACTATACATACATGACAAATCAATATCCTTTTCAAATATCCATCTATCCTAAACCTATGTTAAAAAATGAAGAAGAAACAGCACGAATGCCGGCGTTTCGATGGCCGGAAAAAGAATTTGTTCTGCATTCCTTCTATAACGGGTGTTAGTGAAACCTAATGTGAGCAATTTAAACCTAGATGGAGGAGAACTAATCCGGTTTCGTGTATTCGAGCAGCATGTGTGGTGACCTGTAAATCTTCACCAGCGTCCAGTATAAGACCTCTTCAACTCCAAGCTCACCCTCTGCTCTTGCAGCATATATATCTTCACAGATGGCTATCAACCTGTACATAAAAAGATATCATACAAAACCCATGTCAGACCAACCGAGCAAGTAAGGGCCTGTTCGGAAGTGCTTCTAGAATGGCTAAAAGCACTTCTAAGTGATTCCGGGTTATTAATGATTTCAACGTGCTTCTAATAAAAACGCTTCTAAATTTTTATTAAGTTGGCTTTACCTATCACAGGAAGGAAGGTTCTCATAGGGGATTCTCATTCGTAAGTCAGAGCATTGAAGTCTGATAAAGCGGCCAACAGCAAGAACAAATGTTATGTATAGACCCCAAATGCTGAACTTGCTCAGGGTGTCACCGAGAATACCCTCTGAATATCACCCGAAAATGAAGAACAAAAGCAATTTTAGCCAAGAGAAAACGAAGATATGTAATGACACGTGATGCTTTTGGTAAACTTACGTGGCGGTGTTTCCTCAGATACGATGATGGCCATCGGTCCTGTCAAACCTCCACATCCATTGACATCTGATGAATTGATGTCGTGGAAGGACCACCACTCATAATTTGAGCGATTCAGAACAAGGTCTGCGCTAACGAACTTATCCTGTAAATCGTATTCGGTAGTTTTAATAAATAACTGCTATACAAATTACTGCAGAAACACAACTGAAAGAACTGACATGCAGATATGGTACTCGAGTTAGTAAAACATGCATGCGCGAGAAAGTGTACCTCTAATTCCAACAGTCTGACATCACCAGAACCAGTGACACGGAAGTATCTTGGATAAATGTTGTATATCCTAAAGCTGTTTTGGGAGCCATTGAGAACCTTTTGGACATCTGACTGTTTTGGAAGATCCTGAGACTCCAAACTTCTTTCATATTTCACAGTTTCCTTGCCCTTGGGTCTGTCCCTGGAAAGTACCCAAGTAAAAGATATAGCCATGTTGGGGTCCCAATCAAGGGACCGAATGAATCTGGTTTGAACTACATCGGGGATAAGCCACAAAGTACTAGCATCAGATTCGCAACATATCAACTGGACGTCTTTCTTATTATAGGTATCCAGATAACCTTCAGGATCGAGATTAACATCAGAGTCGAGTTTGTCCCATTGGAACTTTTCACAAAGGGTGGTTTGATATAGGGTCAATCTTCCACTCGCTGTCTTTATGTCAAACTGAACACTGGCATCTTTGATGGGATTTTCAATGTTCGTCGGGTTACCACTGCTGTACATCTGTAAGGAGCAAAGGAGTTTTTGATGCATGATTCAGAAAAGCAACCAACTGTTTCTTCTACTCGAAAAGTAAACTTAATATTAAAGCACAGGTTAGCATGTCTACTTGTTTGTGTGTGCCAGATCGCCTAAGACTGAGCAAAACCAATTACTTTATGAACTCATGATACAAATTGGTAATCAGTATCTGTGGGTGAACATTACTTACCAGCATTGGAGCCCAAATAACACAAATCAATATGAAAAACAGACATATCCCGTTGCAACATTTGGTCATTTTCGTTTGCTTATCTCCTTGTTTGTGCGTTGCTCTATTCAAGACTGCATCACATTTGACAAGGTACAAGCTTGCATGTATGTCCTCCAGCTAAATAGAAAGCCAGTCAGTTACAGAAACAACATGCAAATGTTCATGTATTCAGAAAATATACATATATTTACACTATAAGCAATCAAATGATGTTCTGACGAAGGTATTGCAGGGAGAATAAGATAGACTAGCTGTGGTGGTTCTTTCGAATCTAAACATCCCATTAATTTCAACACACAATGTGATCCCACTCTTTTAGGTTTCTGTATAAATTATTCATATTTCAACAATGATAGCAATATCAATAAACGAAGACGGTAACCATAACTGATGGCACTCCAGTGATGATTCAGTGCATAGTTTTGAAAGTTGAAGTTTTATCTTTTATGCAAGATTAAGTATGACGGAATGCTAC